CCTTCAATAGAGCTAGTTCCCGTAAAAACCTTAAAATAGTGAAGGTTTATAAGCGAGTGAAGTCCTTGCCTGTAGAGAGTTTTCGAAAAAAAACTTGAAATGGCGAAGGATAGCCGAGTAGAAGCCTCTTCGCGAAGGTCTGAAAATTCGACCGCGTTTATTTTAAATTGATCGTGTTTCAAATGGATCACGTTCATGACAAGGCGCTGACAGTTACCGCTGTGATTCCTATTGTTTATCTCGAGTTTTCCAAAATTTGCCTGCCCCACCCAAGCACTACGGCGTCTTTGATGTTTTTGCCGATTTTCAAAGTTTTTGCTAACTTGAAAACTCGGGGTCGCACTTAGGAATGTCCACCGATGACAGATTTCTACCGCAAGGTAAACAAATTCTCCCCAAAATTTGCCAAGTGCGACCCATGCCTATGGATAAATCACAAGGTGTCGTGAATTGTTGACAGCCCTAAATGCGTCTGTTTGCCCTTTTAGTTCTTTTACATACCAAAATAGTAGATTTCCTTGCACTTTCACATACTTCAACTCGAGAAATCCCTACCCTTTTATATCAGCCTTATAGCCAGAAAAAGGCACCTCCTTCAGGCAGAGCCTTCCCGTATAAACCGCTATGGAATATACCCCTCGGGGATTGGGAAAAAAAAGGACAATTCGCAAATCACTGTACTGAACAAACAATCATGAAATAGCATACAAACGATAATGCGAAGCATAGCTGAAAGAATCAGCGTGGTATAGGATTGTTAATACGAACTGGCTTTTAACTGGGAGACGATCAGGAAATAGTCACTCAGTTGTATAGAATGCGTACACCACACTGCTTTTGTCAACAATTAACTCCCTATGAGTTTTCTTCCACTTAGGTATTCCGAAGCTTTGACCGTGACGACGCTAGACTGAATCGAATAATAATAATAAAAAAAACATCTGATTGTATCGCTTCACTTTCTTGTTCTGCATGTGCCTTATTACAGAATTATTCGTACCTAAAAACGTGTAAATTGTCTCCCAACAAAGCAAATGGAAATTGTTAAATGCTGTTCGACTATTTAAAGCGGGTTGACTTCTGTCAGGTTTAGACTAAACCGGATGCCACTTGATAGCAAGTTTGAACTGTGGCACGCAAGGTCTCGGCGTCTCAGCGAGTCTCAGCAAGTCAATAAAAACGGCTTGCCAAAAGGGAAACATTAACCACAAAGGACTGCAAAGGAACGCAAATAACTTTTATATAATAACAGCACAGTTAAACGCTGCAAAGAAGAACCTAGATTTTTGAAGCTTGGCAAAATAGATTCTTATAGTTTGGAGTGTTTATTGGAAGTTTAGGCTAAATAGGTTCTTAATTTTCATGAAGAATGATACTGTTGTTGATTACAAGAAATTGCTACAAATGGTATGTGTCCTTCATAATAGGCATTTATTTCCCCAAAATCTAACAAAACTAGGTTTAACAGCTAGAAGATATGCAGTTTTCAACAATGGTTGTTTACATTATACATTTATTATATAATGTAATATAAATTTCCAATATTAAGGCCAGACTTTTGGTCAAAATGTTTATGAAAATGTATACATATAAGAACCTGCTTATTTTTCTTGTCTAAACTAGTTCTTATATTTTGGAGTATTTAAATGACAAATTTCTGCCAGCAGGTTTTTAAATCCTAGGTTCTTCTTCTCGGCGATTTACTTTAGTCAAGTCGCGGTGTCAAGTTAGCAGTTTTGAATTTCGAATATTGACTTTCACTTCCTGTCAATTGATATTGGCTTTCTTGTGATATATTTGGCTACATTCTTCGCCCCCGCTACCGTACCACCACCAACACACTGATCACTAACCGGCAGATGGTACACAGTTCCTCCTTGTTATTTCATGAATTACGTACTACATACTTACATACTGTTTTTGAAAAGATTACTCAATTACTTAACTGTCCGGGCCTGACGATCAAAACAAACAAAACAAAACAAAACAAACAAAAGGAGCAAAAAAGAGAATAGAATAGAAGGATAACACTAAAGAATGTCTTCAGTAGATTCGAAAGTAAGAATGCTAAGTCATCTCATCATATACTTTGGTCCATGAGAGAAAGGTTTAAGATTGAAATCAGGGGTTGCGGGGGGGGAGGGGGGAGGACGATAACCAACGACGTTTTACACATAGAGGCTCCGCCTTGTGCTCTAACCCCTTATCCTTTTATATACACTTTTTGACAGAGCACGTACCCCTTTCGTATACCCTCTGTTGACAAATGGTCCCCCTTTCGCAATTGTCAAGTTTAGAACGCTGCACCTTTTAACTGCTGCAAATGCACCGTCTTGTAAATATGGCGTGGGTCGCACTTGGGAAAAGTTTTCATCTTTGCCGGCTAAAAAAACACAAAAATTCGAAACCGCAACCGGAAAAGAAAACTTTTAGTCCAACCGAGGAGGGTCGAATT